GAAGTTTTTGTTGAAAGATTTTTCTTTTTCGACTTCTTTTTTGGTTTTGGTGGTTCAATAAAATTTCGTATTGGTGGAAGATCTTTCGTTGTTGATGATGTTGTATTTTTTAAAGTTTCTTCTTTCTTTTTTATTTCATCTGTCCAAACATTTAAATCTTTCATATAATCATTTAAATATGCATTATTTTCACGCATTTGATATTGCATATCAATTAATTTGCGTTCATATTCCGATGACATGGTTTGTTTTTATGAAAGAAAAAAGCTTTTAAATATCTTTTTAGTTTATGATTCGAGATACAATTGTTTGATAATTTTAAAGAGCAAATAAGAAAAACAAATCAATTTTTTGTTACTTATAGTAACTTTTAAAATTTTAAAATCAACTTGTCTTGGATTCCAATAAAATGTAATCAATCGCAACAACAAATAGATAGATGGCAAAGAGTACGATAGATGTCTATATGCACAAGTAGTTCTCAAGAAATTATTATGATCGAAAAGAAAGAGATGGACAAAATTGAGAGTTCTACTGTATAAATTCAAAGATGTAGAAGCGGTTGATAATTTATTTATTTTAAACACAATTCAATATTGATATGAACATTTATACTATAGCCATAAATACACATATTAATCGGTTCCATTTTAACCAAATACATCTGTATTTTGCAAGTTGAAATATTTTTTGTTCAATGTATTCAAATGATCAAGAAGTAAGATGCGAATAATTCAAAAATTAAACATATTTTTATGAAAAAATTCTTTAACCATTGTTTAGTAGAATTTCATGTGCTGATCACGAATATGTGTTTTTTAGACAATGTCATAAGCGGGAAAATTTTAAAAAAACTTGGAAAGTGTCGTTTAACCATCGAAAAAACTGTTTATTTGAGAAAAACTAAGATTTCATCTTTTTCGTTCTGAGAACTTTTTCAAAGTGTTTTTCTTCTGATTTTTCATCGAAAAGTGTATATTAGGACAATATTTGGTTGACTTTGAAGCTAAATGTTTGTCGAGTATGGCTATGATGAACGTTCCTACAGGGACATGCTAATATGCAACTTTGCACAGCTATCTTGTGTTTTGCACGAAGAACCATACGCATGTGTCTTACCGCATTCGAATCACTCGACGATCAGTTTTAGAAGTACGCATTGAGTTTTCTAAAGTTTTGCGTTATTGGTAAGAAAATGGAAATTTTTGGTCCTAGGGACTAAATACGTACTTTCAAAGCTCACCCTTGAGTAGTCCGAATGATGTAAGACACTTGACTACAATTCTTGATGCAAAAACCTACATAGATAGCTTTGTAAAGTCGCATATAGGATACTCCTGTAGAAGTGTTCGCCATCACGATACTGGACAAATTTTAGCTTCAAAGGCAATCAAATGCCGTCCCAATATACATTTTTCGATGAAAAGTCAAAAAAAATGTTGAAGAATTCTCACAACGAAAAAAGATGAAACATTAATTTTTCTCAAATAAATGATTTTTCGAATGTTTGACGCTCTTCAAATGTTTTTAAAATTTTCTTGCTTATAACATTCTTTAAAAAGTTTAAAAAATATATGTTCATGATCAGCACATCAAAGTCAACTAAACAACGTATAAATAAATTTTTTTTAAATATACTAAATTTTTATATCATTGGCACCTTACATGTGTCCAAGAAATTATTTGTCGTTCTTTTCTGGTAGTTGAATTATATCACGATGAGAAAAATGACCGAGTATTTTATATGAATGCTTAGACAATAAAAACACAATGGAATCTAAAATTTTTTAACAGAATGAGTTAGAATTGGAATACTCTAAAATTAATTTTTAGAATAAAACACATTTCATGTCAATGATCGTATTGGATTTCCGACGGTTTCAAGCTATCGAATCCGATGGGATTCTGTTGATAAGATCTGACGATATTCGATAGTAGAAACTTGTCGGATTCCACGAAATCTAATGGTATTAAAACATCTAGTTTTACATTTTGTGATTATCAGATAACTTTTGAAATACACTTGTGATACTTCATAACACACTGACGTCACTTTATTCTCAGAGAAACGAAACATTTTCAATTCGACAACGCAGGAGGAGCATCATGGTAAACGGTCGTATACCATCGCATACAGTATAAATTACGACCGAATAGATCGTATTTCCTGTATGGTAAATGATCGTAAATGGTCGGATATCCGATTTTCAGACTGTTATCAACTATGTACGGCACAATAAAATAGGGTCTTTTTTGACGATCTAGTGATTGTAATCCTTCTTCCAGGCTCACTTCAGAATTGCGACAGTATCTCGTCGTGTCGTATACGACAAAATACAACCAAAGTAACCGACCGTACATGTTTGCAAATGAGAATGTATGCTATCGTATTGACATATTTTACTCAATTAAAGAGGCAGGGACTTTCTTTCCTCCGATTTAAACACGAAATTTCATTTTAATTTTTTTTTGAAAAAGATTATTTACTATTTAATCTGCTGCTCGAATCGATCCAAATAAAAATAAAATAATTTATTTAAAAAGAAATACTTAGACTTAAATATGTTTTTTGATTCAACCGAAATAGAAATAAAATAAAATAATACAATTAAAGAATACTTGTATCTCGTTATGTTGTTCGAATTATTCTTAATAAAAAAAATTAATTTTTTTGAAAGAAGCACTCATTATTGCATATATTGCTGAATGCAAAACGAAAAATTTATGTCTTCGACAGGTGCAACTCATTTCATGGCTGTTTTACGACAAAATACGGTCGTCTACGATAATCATTTACATTCATCGCATACTTTATTCTTGTTTGAATACCGCAGGATGAAGTATACAAAATTCGTATACACTCGGAAACGACCGTATATATTTCGTATTTTACCGTATACGTTGATAATTTACGATGGTCATATATAATGATCGTTTTGTCACACATTGCATAGTATACGACCACTTACGGTAGTGCTTTTTCGTTCTGGGAAAAGAAAAAATGAACTTCATTAGAGTAGATTAACACATGGCTAGAATAATGTGACAATATTAACGTTGTTTTGGACTAGTCTAGTTAAATAAATATTATTTAATGCAAAAAAGATACGATTATTGCCCACAATGATACATGGACATTATTAAATAGACGAATTATATGTGATAGTAACTTTCCTTTCTTTTATTTTCGTTGAACAGCAATAGTTTTTACTAAATAGGAATCAAATAACTAGTTGAAATACGTATTTAGCAACGTCAACATTCATTTATTGGATATATTATACTATAAAATAGAATCTACACAATATTTTTCTTTTTTTTTTAAATAAAAAAATTGTCGTTCAAAATTTCTTTTGAAAGAGGTCGCACTATATTTATTATCGGTTGTTTTTTACTGGTGAAAATATGTCTCATGTAATGTACGTTACGATGGAAACAATCTGTACTCTCTCGTTTTTTCATTGGAATTTTGATTTGTATTTTCTTTAGATTGAATATATATTTATTTCAATGGAAATAGATACTTTTTCTCTCGAAGAAATTCGTCGTGAACTTGCTCGTTTAGGTTATGATGGTTTATCAAAACAGACACTTTTAAAATTTCAACATGATTTAGAAGAACTTGCACAAAATGAAAAAACTCAAGGTATTTACAATAAATTTTACTATTCATCGATCTGTTTATTTTTTTTTCGCTCCAAATAGATTCCCATGAAACAAAAAGATCTGTTGCTCAACAACAATCTAATGTTGATTTTACAGTTAAATTATATTGACTTTGTGTTTTCTTTTTATCCAAATATTAAATATTTAGATTCATCATCCAAGTCCATCAGATAATGAATATAATCGAAATGATGATAATAGTGAAAGTCTTGATGAAACTAATACACCAACGTAAGTTAAATAATATTTTTATGTAAGAATAATTTCAATATTTTCATTTAGTATGTCAAGTTATCATTATCGATCAAAAAATAATGAAGATGATAATCGAAGTGAAACATCATCACAAAGAATTATTAAACGAAAAGTTCTTCGGTTAGAAAAAATAAATTTCTTTTAGAAAGAGTTGAAAAAAAAACAATTTTTTTTTTCTTCATTCGTTTAAGACATTATAATGGTAAAGCAACTGTATGTGATGAATCAAGATCAGGTTAGATTGTTTGAAAAACTTTGATCTATTATTTCTTTTTTTGTTTTTTTTTTTAGAAACAGGCTCTGTGCTTGATTCACGTGATGTAAGCTATTTGAATGATCTTCAAAATCAGCATAAACGGGGACGTCGACGAATCGAATCTGCATCAGATATTGATAATCAATCAACATATAGTTATGATGTAATGCATTTCAATACTAATCTTAGTATTTCTTTTGAACATTTGTTTTCATTAGACTCGATCAACATTATCAAATCACCCAGTAAAATCATGTAAGTCAAAGAAAATAAAAGTCGAAATAAAATATTGAAATTTTTTTTTTTTTTTAAATAAATAATTAGTTATTCGTCCATCGACAGCAGCAACTGGATCTCTTCGTCGTTCTCGTAGTTTTTCAAGTAATCATATAGATTCAGTTCAACTTTATTCGTATTATCGACAACAATGGGCATCACAACGAGCACCTGGAGAAAAATCACATCAAACTTTACGATGGGCTATTCGAGATCAACTTTTACAAAAAGATGTTCCTGTTAAAGTAATTTTGAATATTTAGTTTGTCTTTAATAAGATTTTCATAATATTTTCTCTAGAGAAAATCTATTCCACGTGTGAATAATTATGTTGTACCAACAACAAAAAAACGTTCAGCACTTCGTTGGAATATTCGTTATTCACTTGCAAATGGTTTACAACCATCAAAAGATTTAGATGATTTTCTTTATTAATATATATTTATTTCATTCATTCTCTACATACATATTAGGGACTTATTAGATTCTTTTTTTTTTTGTATTTGTTTGTTTACTTTTTGTATATGTGTCTTAATTGATATAAAAATTAAATTTTTCCACGACATTGTAAAACAGGTACACGACTTCTTGTTTGATCACTTTGGGGATCAGTTGGTAATGTCATAAGAGTATATTGAGAACCAGTCAATAATGGATCACGATCTTTAAAAGAAAAAGAATGATATGATTAATTATCAATATAAAAACATATTTGAATATGAAATGAACTAGGATGTAAGAAGATTTTAATTAATTAGTATGTTTAGATTTTACTTGTTGATTATGAATGAGGATTATGATCAATGATTTGGAAGTTTTCATTTCAAATAATTCTTTTTTATGTTTGTCAACATAAAAATAGTGAATGTTTGAATATGATGGAAAAAATAAATGTTATACGAAAGAATGATTGTTCATGAAATAGCTTTTTAATCGTGTCTTAATACTCTTGTAATAGTTTATTTCGAATGAACTTATTTGTGTAGTTTTTCTTAATAATATAAGATTAGTGTATACAAGGAGAAGCTCGATCATCTAATTAATAGGGAGCTGGACATTGGCTTGTTCGGACGCTTCCGCCCTGAGACGGATCCTTGCTAAAGAAATATTTGAGAAAAACACAAAAAAAAACCAATTCGTATATATTATTTAGTTGTTATGCAAGATTAAATAACAAAATTAATTAGAAACAGCAACATTGAACAAGAATATACTAATAGAAGTAGAAAGCGAATTTATAGAGACAGCAGATGCCCAACACTTTTTTAGCGAATCATTAGTGTTTCCATGTGGATTTTCAATCAAATTTTGTAGTTGTTTGTTGATAGACTAGTTTTTCACTTTGGTGGTTGATTGCCTGACATAGTCTTGATGGTGTTTGAATATAGAGGTTGTGTGGATGTCGTTGAGTGGGTGGTAGATGTAAATGAATGAGTCTTCTCTTCATCTACATCCACTCTCAAATCGTGCATGGGGAAATCAATTGATCAGCTCGGACAATACTCAAATAATTAAGTTGATTATTTGAATTAATATTATTGTGCATCATTTGTTTAAAAATTAAGATAGAATCTGTTCGACAGCCATCTGTCCTGTTCTACCGCACAAATGTCCGTGCATAACTGTCCTAGACCTAGTCAATAATTAATTCTATTTGATAGATTATTTCAATTACAAACTATACTCACGCAGTGTGTTGTAAGAAAGAAATAAGTTTAAAAACATTCACAAAACACAATCATTCTTATAAAAAAAAATAGTTTTAAATTATAAAAGAAGTTTTTATTGTTCGAAAGTTGCCTTTATCTACGAATTATCACAAGTAATGATATATTCTATCACTGTCATTATGTTATATTCACATATTTTCGAAAAATAAAACTGAATCAGTGATATGGAACTCTCATGTTTTTGTTTTTTTAATGTTAAATTAAATAGAAAATCTTTATAAGTTTAAGCCTTTTATAATAAAACAAACAATCCTTCAATGATGAAAATTTACTAAATTCTTCAATTTTTTTAAAATTTTACAAATCACATAATTTTTAAAGAAAAAAAACACGGCCTCTTATCGTATTGGAAAATTAAATGAACATAGGTGTTTTTTAATTATCGTCCGATGAAAATCTCCAAAATAAAATCAACTTACATTGTATAATTTTTTTCATTTGATCATTCAGAGGTTCGATATTTTGATCGGTTCGTCGACGAAAATATGCTGTTCCAGGTACATATCCATCAAGTTCTATTGTAAGAATATCTTGAAAATTATGTACTTTTCCAACTTCATTTTGTGGTAAACTACGTGCACCACGAATAGCTGCTTCTAATTCATGTTGTACAGCTAATTTTTGATGTTTTTGCCAACTACAAACACGTCCACGTTGTTCAGTATTAATAGTATTTTTTATAATCTTTTTATATATGATATGTTATTGATATGAATAAAAACAAATGTCATATATAACTTACATTCATTCGCATTTTACTCCAATGATCCGTATTGAGATTGTATCGTGCTGACATATTTAATTAATTATTTTAGCTGTATAAAAAACAATAAAACTTATATTTTTTTTTATGAATATATAATAATAGTCTTCTTGAAGTACATATCACTTTTGGAAACGAAAGTGAATAACAATACTTCATTTTAATACTATAAAATTAATATATAATTAAAAGAAATACATATTACCGTTTTGAAGTTACAAAGTCTTTTTCCATAGAAACATCAAATAATACATCTCTGCATATAGTTAAAAAGGAAAACTAAAACGTCAAACAGAGGAAATTCATTATTGGATACAAAAGAGAACGATGGAAACCATTGTTGTTTTCTATTAAATGTTTTTTCTTCTAACCTTTCCTATCAGAAAAGAACAAAGAATCAGTTGAACGTCGAAGAAAAAAAACCAATTATGATCATAAATAATTCAATTAACAGATAAAAATATTTGATTATCTTACAATTTTTGCGTTATGTTGCTTGTTGTCGATTCCTATAAAATGCTTTATTATTTAAGTTAACCATTTGTCTTCGTCTTTTTTTTTTCTTCTTCTATCAAAATACATTCAAAACACATTAAAAACAAAGCATAACATATTTTTATGTACCTACACATTCACACAAATGAGATTACATGTTCGAGGCTTACGCATACATTCACATTTTTTCTTTTTTTTTTTCTTTTTTCGTTTTATTTTTTTCATAAATTTTCAGAATACGATTGATTACTATGAAAACAATTGTCATTTGATACTCCTATTGATTGTTGATATCTTGGATCTGATTTCGGAGAATTCATAAACATAGGATTATAAAGTTTTCGTTTATTATTCGAAGTTGTTTCTGTTAAATATTCATTATCATGATGTGGATATGGTGGTACATTCATATTTGTACCATGTGTAACAATAGATTCGATTATCGTAGGATTTTTATTGATTATTTGTTTTTGATGTTGACGACGATGACGTCGTGTTATTTCTGTCATTGTTGATGATGTTGTTGATAGAAATTGACAACATATTAAATTTTTACCTTGTTTCCATCGATAAATTAATATAATTATAATAATAATTATAATAAGTGTAATTATACTAAATATAATACTAAGAATTATTTTAATTGTATGATTTTTTGATGTATTAGAATTGTTAGTTAAATTTGATAATTTACCAAATGACGAAGTTTTATATTCATTATTGAATGAACCTGGTTCACAATAATCTGATGAACAATCAATAGATGATTTTGAACATGAATAATGAAGTTGTTCATTAGTTAATGAATCAAGTCGTTGTATTGTTATATTATTAAGACATTGTCCATATAATATAATTGAATTTTTTTTTGCTATAGGCAGCCAACAAGATGAACAATTAATTAGAACACGTTCAATTTTAAGTGTACGTAAACCGGTTAATTGAATAAATATACATCCATCAAGATCAAATAAATTTGTACTTGATAAATCAAGATATTTTAATGATTTAAGATATTTAAATGAATCTTGAATGATACCTAAGTTTAACAAATAAATACATATATATATTCACCGTACTCTTGATTTAGAACATATTATTTTCCTTAATGAATTTTATGAAATATGATTTTGTACATCTCTTATTACATCATGCATTTAAATGCCATTTTATCTTTCATATATATATATATATATTAAAAGAGTGAACCATAAATAATGGTCCTCTTCATGTTTTTACTATAATTTTGTTAATTTTCAGTATTCAGATGAAACGAATCGAAACACATTATAAGCTTTGAAAAGCATGCTAGTAGCTAATATGAAGTGAATAAATGTCGAATCAATCCTTGAGACATCTATCGATTTTCTTAGTGTTGTGCGCTTGCGAAAATTCAGCTATTTAAACCTGAAGTTTCAAAGCTTCTGACAAACAACGCTGAACGAAGATAAAATAATATTGTTTGAACTCAAGTTTTTGTTATTTTGGTAAGTAATTTTGATTAGTTTTAATTTAAATTTGAAAAGTTAAGTTTTCCGATATTCACTTTGATTCAAACCAACTTGAAACTCTATTACGAGCAAGAGTGCGTGTCAGACTACTGAAAAATATCTCCACTTTTTTCTATTATATCTCTAGAAAATTTTAAAATGTTCTCAATATATATAAAATAAAATGGCATAGAAAATCTGTCCTTACATATATATGTTCAGTATTCTTCAGTAAGTTTTTCTCCATAACTTTCTACAGAAAAAAACGTTCGATAGAAGTTTTGTAGAGACTTTAACACTGGATGTTTTTTGGTGGCAAAAAAAATTATTTATAACTTATCAATTATTAATCTACTTACAAGTTAAATTTCGATTTGATGCTAATGATAACCATGTTAAATTTTGAAGACCCATTAGAGCATATCTCGGTATACTTGATAATTTATTAAATGATAAATCAAGTTTAATTAATGATTTCCATTGATGAATTTGATATGGAAATATTTCAATTTGATTCCATGATAAATTTAATTCTTGTAAATTAGGTAAATGAATATGATCAAGTTCTATAAATGATTCAAGTTGATTTAATGCTAAATTTAATATTTTTAATTGTTTTAATTTTGAATTAAACCATTTTGATGATATATTTGATAATTGATTCATTTGTAAATCAAGTTCAATAAGAATATTACCAATTGTATCAAATGTATTTTCATCAATAGTTGTAATTAAATTTGATTTTAATAATAAATGATACATACGTAATGATAAAAGTTTTGTTGAATCAAATGATTCAAAATTACGTGATGAAAAATCAACTGTTTCCCATATTATCATATTGTTTGCACAATTTGAAGCATATGTTAAATTTAATAAATAAGATGAACAATTTAAAATTTTTTTCGTTGAAGAACAACGACATGCCATTGTTTGACAATAGGTACATGATAATAACATATCTTGATTTGTTAACATTGATGATGTCGTTGATATTGAAGAATTGAACGTAATTTCAGTAAAAATATTTGATATACTAATGAATATCAAGAGAAAAACATAATTTATTCGATACATTTTATATTAATGTCGAGTTTTTGGAATCAATACTGAATAATAAAAAGACTATTTATTGCTTGTAATGTTTATATAAAAGACTGATGAATAAGACAGAATCGTGACAAAGGTAAGAAAAAAAAAAAAGATTGAGTCAGTACGTATTACAACTATGGGACATCGGTCTATAGATGAGAACAGGAGAATAAGAGAAAAAAAAAATGCAAAAAAAAGAGAAAGAAAGTTTGGTCAAAAGTTCACCGTTGAATGGAAGAATGCATATGCCCGATTGTGTATATGTATTGAAGGATAAGGTATTATTGAATAAATTTCATTGAAAAGAAACAATTCAATAGTCTAGTCAAGTCTACATTAAACAAATAAAAGATATTTATAATCCATGTTTTTCGAATCTTACTTCTAGCTATAAGAATCATATTTATATATACTCTTGTTTTTTTTTGTAGAGTATTTCTATATTAAAAGAAAAAAACAAAAGATTTCGCTTCAAAGAAAAGTCAATAATGAAAAACATCAGACGAATAACAAAAACGATATTTTAGTATAGGATATTTAATATTCAGGGAATAGATCAATTGAACTGAATTGAACCATAAAGAAATTTATTATTGACATTGTGTTCATCATGAATTGATGATATGTCTGTTGACTATATAATTTGTCAATCACTATATGTTTACAAGAGACCAGTATACTTCATATTATATTTGTAGACAACTACGATGAAATAAGTCATATTAATTGCAACTTGACCAGCAGCACATAAGACATTGAGCAATAAAACTTTATCGTTTTATTCTTAAGTTTCTTTCAATATATTGTTGAACATGATAATTAAATCTAGTATTGATTTCAATATAAAAAAGATAGACAACAAGTATCATTCATAACAAGTCGATATGTTTTATGAATGATGATCGTTAACTTCGTTAAAATCATAAACGAATTAACTTCAGTTTTTAATAATAAACACTCAAGCACAGATTAAAAATATTTAAGAACATACAGTGGTAGTGTTATCAATATTATTCAGGATATTTTTGTGAGTAATAAATACGTAAACTTAAACAAAAATAATTAACAGTATATGCAATTGACATAACTAAAATTTTGCAAGTCTGTTACAGCTAGTCTAATAATTTATTAATCAATACCTTAACGCAATCATCAACAAAGCTTCGATGAACTAAACTTAAGTAAAATAAATTCGATTTAAAACATCGTTCGTATGAACTGATGAATATTGCTGAAAATTAGTTAATTGAAAAAACCTATATCAAATATTACATTTAATAATTATATATCTTTAGATAGTTTATAATTAGAGCTTATAAACAAATTTACTTGTTTTTCAATATATAATCATCTAAATAAATGGATTACCAAGGATAAGACAAAGAAACATTGACAGATCTATTGATAAAAACTCATAGTGCGAAATTGATGTGTACAAATAGATTGGTTTTGTTTCGTTCTTATACATGAAATTCTAGACCATTGATGAATAGCATTCGTATTCATATACATCAATAGATTTCAAATATCAATGAATCGTAATCATCATGCAATTATGTATGACTAAAGAATATTATTCGTTGATTTCACTTTCATTTGATATTACAATTTATGAAAATATATTTCATCAATGACGATAATTATAAAATCAATTAACCTTTGAAAAATCATTAAATATAGAAGTCTAAAAATCGTAATTCTTTATATAATTTATCTCATATTAGTATTATGCGAATAAGAGACAACATGAATAATACACTTCACTGTGATTATTCAACAGAAGAAGCAAGTAGACGGCAGTGACATTTTATTACAAGACAAAACTGATCAGAATATAATTGATTACATAGTCTGTAAATAGACATATAATATTAACAAATTTTCTTTTATTTATTTTATTTGTTGAATATTTCCTCTAATCAAAAATTTGAAATTCTTCTACATTCTATTTCTATTTTTCATATTTCTATGTCACGACGAACGTGCTTTTCTACAATGTGAACATGATAAATATTTAAAAAAAAAAAAAGAATTGCAAAGAAACACACGTACTTTCATCAAGAAAAAAAAATAGTAAGCAATCATGATTCAATGCATTCTGACATTTATACATTAATCAATAGTTTTCTTTACGACTCAGTCATAGACATATTATGTAATACTAAATATAAGACTAGACACAATGTTCTTCAGTTATTCTTTTCCATTGTTAACTCAGTGATAAAATCGAATTATTTCAATCTGTTCATTTCTCACGGTCGGTTATTTTATATAGCATCTGATTGAAGGACATTTATTACATGAAGTTTAATACTTTTTGAAATTTAGACAAGATCATATATTGACACAAAAAGTCAGACTAGAAACATTTTCAATCTTCTCAAAGTAAATTTCATGCAAACTCAGTTCCTTAAAAAAACTATACTAAATAGCATCTAAGCAGATGAATTATGTTTTACTTAATATTTCTTAGGTAATAAATGAAGCATATCCTGATCTAACATATAGAAATAGATGAGTTTTGAATTTTGAATTGTTTATATTTTTACTTTTATATTCTGTACACATCCGCATTTAGCTCATTAAGAATTGAAACCTGCTTTGATTATATGTTCCCCTTTCACTCTCGTAAATCAATAACTTGTCTACCTATTCTTGTTCGATTGTAAAACAAACACATACTTAACTCTTATCTCATATAACAACAATGATGACTAGAATAGTAAATGCAAATATTAGATCATACTCATTACAACCAAATGCTTATGCATAGATGTAAATGGAAAGTAAATGAAATAATGCCAATTTTTGTTAAATATATTCTCAAAAATTTAGTTAGAGGAAAATGTAATAATTCAAATAAAAAACCAATCTTATTCTATTATTCTACTATTAACATACACATAAAGGAAGATTTCAACTATTTCATATGAAATCTTATAAATCTATACTGAGATGAAATTTACTACCGAATAGCTTTCTTATGAAAGGCAATATTCTGGTTGCCTATTTTATAAGCATCAGCAGCAGAAATTCTCAGGTGTTTTATGTTGGAAACTCATTATATTACATTAAAAAAATTCATATATGATTATAACTCGAGATTAAAACAATAGTTAGACACGATACTCTAATTGTTCAGTTTCATATAAAATCATTCTTTTTGTCATTTTATCACTGATGCATTACACATAATTTTAAATGTGCAGTAGGAAAACTGAGAGATACTATACACAAAATGTTTTTTTTATTCGTTCATAAACGAATTCGCAATAAAATTCTTGAATTATGAAAATAGAGAAAAACAAAGAAACACTCATACAAAGTGTAAAATGAAAATTATTTTCTTGTTGTGTTGTCTACATAACAATAGCAGATTAAATCATGCGTTTTTGTTTCAATTCAACGTTTTTCAAGTTTGATAAATATAGCATTGGGTTGAATTATAAATTTTTCTTTACATTTGAACTCTTGTTCGAGTTTATTTCCAGGTAATATTCGATATTGACGAAGTAATTGAATCAAACAAATTTTTATTTCCATTAAAGCAAATTTCATGCCTACACAATTTCTTGGACCAACACCAAATGACATCCAAGCAATTGAATGACGTTTTATTTGATGTCGTTCAGGTAGAAAAAGATTTGGATCTTCAGGACCCCACAAATCTGAATTATAATGAATACTAAAAATATCAGGTTGAATAATACATCCTAGAATAAAAGAATAATATAAATATAATTGTTTAATTTCACAACTTCTTTCTCTCTCTCTCGAATAGACCTTTCTCAATGATGTGTCCACAAACAGTTGTTGTTGTATTACATTCACGAGTCATTGCTTTAGTAGTTATAGGATACATTCGAAGGACTTCTCGTATAAACATATCCAAATAGGTAAGATTTGTTTCAACATCATCAATACATTCTTTATCAATATCATCCGACGGATTTTGATTAATTTCATAAATAAGTTTTTCTTGAATATCTGGTTTTGTAGCCAAAACATATGTACAATACGCTAATGTAGTTGATACTGTTTCATAACCAGCAGCTACGAAAATCAATACATTACTTGCTACTTCATCTGAATTCAATGCTTTTGTCCTCAATTGACCTACAGTATGATCCTAGAAGAACAAACGAATATTTGCAATTAGAATTTGAAAGTGTGCATATTTTGTATAATAAACGTCCTGAAAGAATAATATATTCGAAATAGATCCTACAGGACATAATTATTTGGTATTATGTTGCAGGATTTATAGTAGGAGTCTTTTTATGAGATACTAATCAGAAAAAAGTCGCGAATAATAAAAAAAAGAGTAAATTAAATAAAAACTCGAATCTTAGATGTATGAACTATGAAGCTATTCGATGTTGTTAGTTAGCTATAAAAATTTTAAAACAGTGCTGTCATGTTTAGAATATGTCCGCTGAGAAATTATTTGATGTTAAGGAGTTTGCATGACAATCCCTATCCATATATATAATGTTCAGTGTGTGTTTGTTTGTGTGTTTCTCTGTGCCAGGTCAAAGGTTAAAGATCAAATAAGACTATAAGGAGGAGGGTCCCAAGGGCATGATACGGAGTACCCTTAGGCTGTCAAGGGATATTGTATGGAGGCACCTATGGATCCTCAAGAGCTATCTTATGGGGGGGGGGGACCCATAGTCCTCAAGGACTATTATATGGAGATACTCATAGGTCCTCAAGGCCCATACTGTGGAAGTACCAGTAGTTCCTCAAAGGCTATTATATGGGGCCCCCATGGGTCCCCGAGAGTTATCTTATGGGGATGCCCATACGCCCTGAAGAGTCATTATATTGGGGAACATGTAGGCTGTCAAGGCCCGTCCTGTGGGAGTATCCCATAGTCTCTCAAGGGCTACTATATGGGAATACCCATAGGCCCTGAAAGGAGTAAGGCAATAAGGGAGGAAGGCTATAGAGGGTAGGGCTATAGAGGGCTGGATTACAAAGGAGATAATGCTATAGAATGGTAAAACTCTAACGGAATAAGGGTATAGAGGGTTAGAGCTGCCAAGGAGTAACGCTGTAGAGGCGTCAGGCTGTAGAAGTTAAGGCTATAGAGAGATGAGGCTATGATACTGTAGGGCTTCTATGTACATCATGCCCAGTATGTGTATATCTGTTAACGAGTGAAAGACTAAAGGTTTGAGATCATACGATAGAGAAAAAAATACCCGTGTAGTATGCACGGGTTCTCGCTAGTGATAGCATAATGTTTTGAGAATAAATCCACTGGAAAAAAATTAATTTATATTTAGATTAATCTTATCAAAGGTATCGTACTTCCATAATATACAATATAAAAAAAAATATCTTGGAACTTTGAAAAGAACCAATAAATTCCGAAAAAAAAATAACTCTCGGTAAACCTTCACTAATAATTCTGTAATAAGTATTAGTTAATATTCTTACTGTTATTTCATCATTAGTAGAAGTATCAATCATTAATTGTAAGAAATCTATGCATTCATTTGCCTCTGGCACTGATGTTCTTCGAAGATTAGCAATTTCATAAATTCGATTAATCAAACAGAAAATAGGAAATTCTTCAATATAATTTCTTAATGTTGGTATTAATTCAGCTGCTCTTCTACGAACGGCTAATAGACAAAAGAGAAAATCATGTAAAGGATGAGCAAGAAATGGTATTAAATTGCTCAATTGAAAAATAGTTAATTGATCTGTATTTATCTCACACATTTCTTCGAATTTTTGTAAATATGAATTATTAATATTATTTTGAAAATTAGCATTAATATCAAATGTACAACGACCTAAATATAATCAAATGAGTACTTATACATTTCATTATGATAGACAAATAGATCTAACTCACATATGATATCCATAGTCATTCGTTTGTAAAAATCAAAAATATTAATTTCTTTATTCTTATTTCTTGCTATTTTATTTAACATTGTATTAAGACAATCATTAATCGAAGGTATCATTGTATTAAGTTTAGCAGTTGAAAACATTAAATTAAAAATGTCTCGTTGATGGCGCCATCGTGTGCCAGTTGCTCTAAATAAATGAATTTTTCCATCATTTTCTACACGCATTATCTTCGAAATAGACCGTGAATGGAATGATGAAAATTGTTTGATATAAATTTCTTGAAGAAAATTAACATCTGATACAACATACATAGGTTTTATACCTTCGAATAATCCATAGATTGATCCATATTGACGAGTCCATTTTTGTAATTGTTTAGAATAAGTCTCTGTTGACCAAAACTCTTTATAATGACCATAGAAGAAACGAGGTGGTGGTCCTGGAATATTTCGACATTTGAAATAATCATATTGACGATTAATTCTCCAAAAGTAAGTAGCAATAAGACACGCAATAGTTGCGACAAAAACAATCGTAAGAAACATACTTTAAAATAAAATGAAAGAACTCTGAATGATGTTTGTTTTTGCTTTTTTTTTTTTAATAAAAATGAAAGTTGTCATCTGACACATGGCATTTTTTCTTTTTATTATACAGAACAAATAATGCACCCCAACGAACTTGATGTAAATAACTCTTGAAAAATTATATGAGTCTTTCTAGAAGAAACAAGTATCATTCTCGACACACGTGTAGGTAATTTCAAATAAATTGTTGAAAATTATTATGCTTCATTTAAGTTATAGTAGTTTGAAGCAGCTATGTAAAGACCATTGCATTTACATAAAGGCATACTTTGTCTATCATATCATTGATTTCAACAACAATGTATCGATTGAAAATTGAATCAAATTTTAATATAACGAAGACGAAATTTTTTTGTTAAAGTTAAGTTAGCCAAAATATCGAAAATAAATGAATAGAATTGTGAATTGAAGCAAATCGTATTTTCGTTTTAAGTGCAGTCCGGCATAATAATGATAAATATAAAATTATCATTGTAACGACAAAGTGGATGAGTAGTTTACCGTCGAATTCGGTAATAATGTTTATTAAGTTACTCTACATCTTAATGGTACACTCCCTCCTTTCCTCACTCAAAATTTTTTGTTTTTTTCTTTTTGTGGCTATTGTATTAGTTTCAAGTAGTATCTATCGACTAAGTATATTTTGGGACCCGAAAATTGTCTTTAACCCTTTCAATCCTGAAAGTCATCTCATAGATGACATGCAGAACGAAAAAAGAAAAATTTTGTGCTCTATCATCTTCCTACATGATGCATATCACCTGTGTGTCTAAAGAATCGACTATTTTTCTCGCTTCGAAAATCTATTTTTTCGCACTGAAATAATGAAACTAGAATTTGTGTGCAGCTGATTATCTAAAGCAGAATGCAAGAGAGAGAGAGAGAAAAATTGTGATTTTTTTCAACTTTGTGCAGAACGAAAGAAAATGTCAGGATTGAAAGGGTTAAAGGTTAAAAAATTTGAGAAGAAATCAAATTTTTTTAATGAAAAAAGTGCAGAAGCGTCTCAAGTTCTTCGGTATTGTACGTTCGATCGGGCTGAAGCTGTTTTCACATATACTAGACACTGTTTGAAGTGGGCATTTCTTTTTGTTCAAAAAATAGTGTCCTGTTGATTTTTTTTTCTTACAAAAAAGCTTTATACAAAAAAAACGGGCGTTTTTTTCGACTGCCTTCGATATTTTGCCTTTTTTTATTCGAAGAACAAAAAAAAAGAAACTAAAAAGAAAAGTACCTACTCCAAACATTATCTAGTACCTGAAAACAAAATTTTCAGCTCAATCGAACATAGCATCTTGGAGAAACGAGGGCAAAACTTGGAGTCATGTTTCACTATTATGATCTTAGTATTTCATAGAAGAGAGCATCCAGGAACTTTGAGTCTATGACAACTTTTGCTGTACTTATCAAGATCTCTCTGCCCTGAAAATTTCAAAATTTTTTGAGGAATTGTTCTTCAGAAACTCCGGAAAACGGAAGGAGTACCCTTAAGAATGTCACGTTTATATAGGAGAGCCATGAACACAGAAAAGAACAATAGAGAGAATGAGAACGAAACGAAGAAACAAAAGAAGAATTGAGAATATCAGGGAGAAAATGATATCAATATCGGTTCAATCGTTTTTACAGTTGACCACATATAGCATCTGGTTCTGTAACAAGTCTTTCTTTACTTTTAAATCTCTCTTCCAATTTCTCGTCTGGTAAAGAAAAATATGTGAATCCTCAGCATCTCACACAATTGAATTCTAATGGATTCTGAATACATCTGCATGTTAATAATGAAATTATTTCTGTTTAATAGCTTCATTTGCTCTTTGTTGAATTCATCTGTCTCCTTCCCTTTTTTTTTGTGCTCTCATCTATATAAGGTTTTTGTTCTATGTGATATACACAAGACTGCAGGTACAAAGTAATTGAATAAATATCAATATCAAGCTTTGTAGTAGCAGTACTCTTTCAGTTCATCATATTTTGTCGTTACAGTCCGATTAAATAATACGCTCTGAAACAGTAGATTAATAGAAATACAATAAGTATAATTGTACAGTTTCTATCTTATCAGGATTTTGACAGTGAGGACTCAGATAGTCGAACTGTCTTTGGTGGAAGGACTTGTGGTAGAGGTTAGCTGGCATATCTTCGACCAATAACAGAAGGAGTACTCAATTTCCTCTAGCTCACCGTTGACTACGCCACTAGGGTATGTGTGACCAAAATATCTACACTCTCATACCCTAATTAAATCCACATAGAAAACTTTCAATCAGTTGAAAATTATCTATTCTCGATTAGTACATAACAAATTTTACGTTTTGATATTTTAAAGTAAACTCCGACAAATATTGATTCTTTTGTGTTCCAAAAAGATTATAAACTAATTTTTTTGAATTTTATATAAACGTTCCATTATCAGAATTAAAGCTACAGTATTGATTATCTCATTTTTGTGCAACAAGTACTTCATCATTCAAATTGGACTTTTTCAACGAACCATTCTCAAAATAATAGCAAAAATTATAATCAACTAAAACAACAATACTACGATCACCATGATTATAAAATTAAAATTTCCGTTAATTAATCAAACATTTGATCTATAAGATGATTTACATAATGTGTGATATGATCAATTTTTTCTCGTTAATGATGACTGTATTCAAAATATCGTGATCATCATCTTATCTATCTCCACTCCGCTGTAACATAATCTAAAATTTGACATTTATTATTGCATGAATTATTATCAGATCATAAAAAAAACGAATTACAACTAACCAAATAATAAAATAATGATGAAAAAATAATGAATAAACTAATGTTGTTGAAGAGAAAGAAGTCAAACGCAGAACAATAAAGCAAACGAGGACACAATAATTGTCTTTTTTGTAGATTTATTTCTCATAGGACGGTTTATAGTTATATGATACCTAATGGTTTCATCATATATTCTAGCTGGCTGTAATATCACACAATAGAACGATTTTCAATCAAAAAAAGCAAATAAATTTATTAAATAGAAGTTATTATTGCATAAATTTAATTAATAAAATGATTTAAAATAAAGAAAGAAATTAAGCAATTACACACATTGTTGATAAAGTTTTCTCGATGGTTCTTACTTTATGTTTATACTTCCGAACATGTTCTCGTTTGTATTCTACTCTGTACTGATACACTTTTTATCATCCGTTCTATTTTATGTCTCTATGCTTTGACCTTTACTCTTATTTATCAGTCTATATATAATTAATCATGCCCCTTCTCCCTAGATTTCTATGTTATATTTATATCCTAGATTCTATATCTTCTGATGTAAGTATTTCCCTACCATACAACTAATACTCAATCCCCTCTATGTTATACTTATACTATCAACTTATGACCATACTCTATACTTATATATTGTAGTTTACGTATTTTAGACAATGTCATCTACTGTATTGCACTTACATCTATTTCTTTTCTCTTTCAGCATTCATTTAATATAGTTTTTAATTAGTAGAATTCTATATTAGCTAAGACCAATGTCATGACTTACTGCTGCATATATGCTCTTAAAATTCTGCGATATATGTATGCAGACATAAGATAGACACTAAAAAAGACATATTCAAACAGCGAAGTAGAAAGAATCAAACAAGTATGCGATAAATGGTATCTAAGCCGAAGGCATTGTTTCTTTCTTTCACTGGTCCTGTTATGCTGATCCAATTACGCTGTACATCTCGAAAGTTGAATATACGGCTACTATATACTGTCGTGCATGATGATATACAGCATATATGAAGCAGGCGTGTCTCCCTTTTTACCACCCATGCCGATGAATACCACATCCGTACATGTCCGCAAATGACTGTGCACATTCCTTATTTTCTCATAAACGATCATATATTGTCATATTACACGGTTCAGTATTGCCAGGATGGGGATGCGCGAGACAACAAGAGTCACACCAACAACTACACCCACGTTCACGTAAGACTCAGATCCAACACACACACACACACACAACTACACCCATCCTTTTATTATTCAAGAATTTTGAGAACATGAATGAGTAAATATTGTTCAGTTTTTTGTGTTTTTTATTTTGCAAAGCTTGAAACAAAACAAACACAATAGAAAAAGAAATTCACGAGTTCTTTTTTTTCCGCGAAAAGTAATGCAACAGAATTGCACAACAACAGAACATTATTCTTTTATTTACGACGATTTTTTCAGCGATAGCAAAGTTTGCATGGGTTTTTTCTTCATTAACTAAATAAAAGAAAACAAGTAAAGACATGGACGATTGCTATGTAATGTTGAGATATTCTAGTCAACGTAGGTGTTACAAAAAAAGAACAGAATAAAAAGAAAAAAGCATTTCAGTCACGTTTTATTTTGTTCGATGTTGGAAGAAAAATTAAAAAAAAAGTGACATGGCGATGGCTGGTAGAACATACAAAGGTATTACTAACGTCCCAAAATCTTCTAATAATGAGTTGGTACTTATTTGGTTGGATGATTCTGCTGAAGAAGATGTAACTGTTAAAGGCATTCTTTCTTCCCTTTTTGATCATGTGTTTACTTTTATTGATCCTGAAGCATGTCTTGAATTAATTGAATCAAATGAAATCAAAACGCCTTGTTTATCTGTTCTTATCTCTGGTAAATATGGTCAAATGCTTGCACGTGATCATTTACAACCATTAAATCAAGTTCAATACATATATGTCTTTTGTTTTGATACTGTAAAACATAGTCGATGGGCACAAACATGTGATAAGGTTCGATGTGTTTTTTCGGATATCAATAAAATTCTTGAATGTATGCAATATGACATGCAAGGTAGTACAGAACAACAACACACAGGTGAAGAACAAGAACAAGAGCAAGAGCAAGAGCAAGAACAGCAAGAACAGCAAGAAGAATCAAAAGAACAACAACGAGAACGATATACAGATGACAATAAT